CAACTTCCTCGCTTCACACTATCACACTATAATATAAGTGTAGGAGAGCCATGCTTCGGCAGGAATGGGCCGGCTCGACCGGAGTGATACCACGGCCTCACATAAAACCGACGTGAAGCAACGCTTGCGTTGTGTTTTGTCGTGTGAGTGAAGTTACCGGAGGCCCAATTACCCTCCCCTTCCTCAGTCTCCTCAATTCCTGAATCCCAACGATCCTCAAACTCCTAATCCCCAAAAGGCCGGTAACGCACTTGTAACGCCTCTGGTGTTCCAGGTATCCATGGGCGACGCCGATTGCTTACCATCAGGTGATCCGTCAGCTCGTTTACCAGCTTATGCCATAAAAAAAATTATAAATATGAAAGTTTCTTTGTTTGGATGTTGGTCCGTCAATCACGCTGAAAATACTGAACGGATTTTGAAGAAATTTGGTAAACATGCATGATATGAGCTGACTTAGGTGGTAAGATACTTTTTATCCCGATTAAATGCTACCATGGGAAAAAAATAAATACGCAGGTAAAGTCGCGGATAAAGAAAGAAAAAACATTAATACAGCACCAGGCACGATGCAGCATAAAAAAAACATTTAAAAAATTGTGTGACAGTAAAAGTTAGACGAACATGAGTAAAACAAAATTAAAACCGAAGAATTAGAAAAGACACGCTGACAACATGGCTATGCTAAATGATTAAAAGCTGGTTTAACATAAAGTAACTAACTTAACATTGTGCCCTTACGGGGTCCATAAATGTACCTTAGCTTTAAGCGTATATTGTAACACCTTATTCACATTATGGTATGCAAATAAATGAATATGAATATGAACATCATGCCTTTTCTCCCCGAAGGGGTAGGCACAGGTGCACATTATGTCACTGTACAATGTAACACCCACTTTTCACTATTTATGATATGAGTCCCATGTAATAGGGGGTGAGCCTATTGCCATATACTGGGCACAATTCCAGACTCCGTCTTACTACTGAGATTTTTTTAAAAACCCAGTAATACTTTGCCCGACCCGGGAATCGAACCCGAGACCCATTGCCTGGCAGTCGCACTTGCAACCACTCGGCCAACGAGGCAGTCTACTCTCAGTCATAAAGTAACTATTAACTGCCCTTAACAAGCCATTCAAAGTATTGAATAATCTTATTTAGGACTATAAAATTTTTTGGCTGTTTACCTGTAAGCAATCCCTTCCTGTGCTTCAGTTTTCATTTCCAAAAGTAGGGAGTCATAAGCTTCATCTTGCTCTCACCGAGAGTCACTTCAAACATCATTTTATTACATGGTCTTGTTTCCTTTGTGTTATTACTCGTACGATATATCCAGCTTTTCTTTGATCTATCTCTTTCGTATATCTCTCAACAATCCTGTCTAAAAAACAAATATGATCTGCTATGTGTACATGTGGCATGGTGACTTAATTTACGTACTTATACCTGTACTTATATATACACTGTTAAGTGTGGGAGAGCCATGCTTCAGCACGAATGGGCCGGCTCAACCGGAGTGATACCACGGCCTCACAGAAAACCAACGTGAAGCAACGCTTGCGTTGTGTTTCGTCAAATGAGTGAGGTTACCGGAGGCCCAATTACTCTCCCCTTCCCCAATCTCCCCAATTCCTGAATCCCCAACCATCCTCAAACTCCTAATCCCCAAAAGGCCGGTAACGTACTTGTGACGCCTCTGGTGCTCCAGGTGTCTATGGGCGACACCGATTGCTTACCATCAGGTGATCCGTGGGCTTGTTTACCGGCTACCCGATAAAAATATCGCTATTCGATAAATCATTATCCAACACAAAAATATTTTTTGAAATTAGGCCAGTAGTTCCATATATTAGCGCATTTAAACAAATAAACTGTTTAGCTTTATATAATAAGTGTAAGATAACTTATCTTATCTTAGATAAGATACAATATGCACAGTGCTATATATTAAAACAAAAGTATGATATTTTTTTCTTTTCTTATAACATCTTCTGATTCACTTCGTTGTGGGAACCAAGACAGTTATTCATGTCCCTGGGACGCGCCGGACTTCAGTGTTCCGGTGTTTTCATGGTTGTATCTGCTGTAGATCCTGGCTTACAGGAGTTGCAGCGGTTTTAAGAGGTTGTGGCGGGCTTGTCCAAAAAAAAAATTGTTAGTACCTATATAAAAAATTCTATGAACCATCATTGTATTATCCGCAAGACGCTCTACTGCTGACTATACATATATATCCCTGATCCCAAATAACTACCCAATATCCTTTATTCACAATTGTTAAATGTTTTTTTTTTAAAAATTGCCCTACATCAAGATTTTCTCCTGTGTCGTGGGTGCATTTACAAACATATAATTCCACATGCAGCTGATACCCAGACCCGAAACAACAATTCGTGGATCTCACAAAGAGTTGCTCCGTGCGGGATTCGAACCCGCTACTCGTTACACGACAGCCAATTGCCAAGTTACAGTTGCAATTGCTGTTCAGAAAAATGTTATTTTAGAACATAACGCTCAAAATGGAAAACCACACACCGTCCTAGCGTATTTTGCACTGAGTGCGTACCTTATCCTAATAATTTAGTATTCCGATATGCCATCAAGATATTTTTCTTCACGAATGAATTTTACGACAGCAATTCACTTACAACCTTGCATAATTTATTATGAATTCATTGATTGTCTTTCAACCTTATTTTCGAAAATATACTGCAGATGCCTTTAGTTCTTGGCGCTTTCCTTTTCTTTGTCACTTACCTATTTCTTGATTTTTTTTCATTATTCAAGGATTTTGATGCTAAAAAGCGTTGAGAAAAAAAACTTCGATAATACTGACTGACTTAGACTGCACGGAGCATTGCACATAGTTCACGTTGTTATGTCATCCACAGATTATTGTTTCGGGTTTGGGTGTCATGTGTATGTGAACTTGTATGTTTGTAAACGCACCTACGACATTGGAGAAAATCGGATAAAATTATTAATCCCAGGTTTCCTCACATTGTTTTCCTTCACCGTTGATCAGTGATGTCTAAATATTCTCAGAAAGTACATTACCAGTTGATAAAGTCATATTCATACCTGCCACTGATACGTTTCAAACCCGCACTCTCGTGCATAAGAAGCGGGAGTCTATAACCTCCGGCCCACCACGACATAATAACTTCAATATACGCCAAATTACAAAGCCAATAACTATACCAACCCGATCTTGATACCGAGTACAATTCAAACAGTAAATTTTAATTTCATTGTTACCGAAGCGGTTTCCTCTCAAAATGTCTTCATCGATAGCAGTAGTCTAATATGAAGTCGTTTGGTATCTTTTAAAGATTTTTCTTAGAAAAGAAATGAGAATAGCTTTCTGAAGTCTTTGTTCGGTGCTTGCTTTTTTAATGTTTTTATTTTTGTCGTTAGTGTCTTGGTGATGTTACGAGTGACTTGTTTGTTGGTTTAGTGAAACTGTTGGGTATTTAAGTTTGTTTCTTGAGTTCAGCAAAGAACTATTGGGGTTTTTAGTACTTGTGAGGAATTCAAAATTAGGTTCAGAGTGAGGTAATGAATCATTACTTCTATCTTTAAAGCATCTTGAAACTCTTTTGACCTTTGGAGTACCTTTAACGCTATTCACGAGCCCTTTGTCGCGTAAGAATAAAAATCCAGATACACTTTTCATAATCCAGAAATTAAACTCATAAGTTTCTAATTTAATATATTGACTACTAAGGCAATCAATTTTAGATACTTTTTAAAACACAGAACAATAAAAACATTTAAAAATATATTGTTTTGTTTTTAAAATAGGAGCCGACTAGTAGCGGGAGCATGGTCTAAGCTACCAGTGGTTAAGACTCCAGAGACCGAAACCCCCTCGCGATGCGCACCATTTCAATGAACTGTCTTCTGTAGCAAGCCCTTGACCTATCCGTCCAACGCCAGCCTCGTTAGGCGGTTGTCGGGGCTGTTAGGTATTAACCCATTGGCCGTCACGACTATTAGCACAATAATAACCGATTTCACATGCCACATGTCGACAACCTCGTGAGCTAAGTCTAGATATTTTATTTTTTTATCTTTCTCAGCTTTCATGAGGTTTTCATCGCGGCGAATGGGGATATCGATTATCATTGTACTAATAATTATTGTTCAAATTGACAAGGGCGCACCTAGTCACTTTTAACAATAATTATTAGTAACGAGAATTAATATTTACGACCATTTCCACTCAACTTACTTCTCTAGAACAGTCAGACTGATTTGAATTCAAACGACGCTCACCACGAGTCAAGGCGTCGTTAGCAGAATCCAGTCTAGCATTAAATTAAAAGCGTACCATCATAAATATCTGTCTATCCTTGTCTAAGTTTAAGAAAACGTTTATAACAATTTATCAAATTAATTAGGTTTTAAAGCTTATTGGTACGAGGTACCTTGACTAGTTTCAAGACACGCTAGGAGCTCATATGCACAGCCAACTGTTATATCGGTATGGGTCCCTTGCAAAGGATGAAACTGGTTGAGTCACCTCGTATAATTACGTCGTAAACCGTAAAACATAATTCATTTGATATTCCATAATCATACACGTCACTCCAACCCTTAAAACTCAAATCACAAATTCCTAAAGTATCTGGTGTTGTGGCTATCCATAGGTGACGCCAATTGGTTACCTTCAAGTGATTTGTCCGTTCATTTCCCGTCATAACATATACCAATAAAAAAACATGACTTTTTCCATGTTACATGTACTTTCTAATATTATCTAAACACCACTGACAAACGGTAAATGAAAACATCCTAAGGAAACCTCGGCTTATAATTTCGAATTATAAGTTTGAAATCGCCAACAAAGTGTGATGATTAATGCTCAAACCTCCTCCGTTTGAGAAGAGGCCTTTGGTCAGCATTCAGCAGCCACTTATAGGCTGTTGATGTCTAAAAAAAAAGTCTCACGATACACAAGTTATAATTTATTAATCTATATTTTTCTTTCGCAGGTGAAAACCCCGCCGCTATGCAGTCTTCTTCGCCTAGTTTCATCAACCGTCTACATAATATCTTATTACCAACCCTCATCAGTTATAATCTGATACGGTGACAATTTCACTAGCTCATCAACTGAAAATGTACCCTATATGTAATAGAGAAATGGGTTATTTTTGCGTGGAGTGAAATTTGACGTATAAATTTGAAGGGGTATTAGGAGTAACGAGAGCGTTGAGTGTACATGTGTTTTTACTTCGCCTGGTTTCGTTTTATTTAGAGCGTCGTTTTCGGAATTGTTTGTTGCTTACGAGGTAAAAATATCAGGTGTTTTTGGCTGATCGAATTTATCATCTATTTTTATTTAACTTAAGCTGATATTTGTTTGGCTGTATGTAGGTACTGTTTTAGAGGCTAAACTCAAGTTTCTTTCATCTCTGTCGTAGAGACTTTTAGCTATTCATTATTGCTAACGCGTCACGGTTTTAAATGTGGAACTCCTGCATTTGAATTATTAGCTGAGCAAATGTCAGTTTTGCCATTCGCTAAACTATGTATGTAGTCTAAAACTTCACTGTTATTCATATCAAACTAAGCGGCCTAAACCAGTTTTAAACTGGTGCTATTCTCTGATATTACGATAAAAGTGAATCCATCTAATAGGGTAGATGCCTATAGTCAGAATTTTAGTTAGATTCCAGATTTGACAATAGCTACTGTCATTTTGTGAAATAATGATACCACATATAATAGTGTAGTGATGGACACAAAAATCAATAAACAATCAGTGTGTGTGTTTTATAATAAATGTTACAGAAAGTGACAGGATAGCGATAGCGATGACGGCGACAATTTATAAAATAACTTATTATCATAATACATCTATCTGTTTTATTTGTCATGTTCCTTCATGATTGCATTTTTTTATTTATTTCACACACAATTATAAAAGAAAAGTTTCAGATCGTTAATTAATCGTCAAAACTAATTTATCGGTTCAGAAATATTTAATTTCCAAAAATACTTAGTATACGAGAGTAAAATTATAAACATAAAGAATCGATCCAGAAATATTACATTTCCATATCGAATAATTTCGCAACGTCACTATTTAGTACTTGGCATAACGTTGCAACACTGAAATTGTCAAATCTGGAATCGAATTAAAATTCCGAGTATAATTTTTATGTTAATGTCCGTCTGGTAGATTATTTTATATACGTCGCGTGACGTCACTTCTCTGTACATTTTATACGTAGAAATGACATTTTAGCCCTCACTCCGAAACTTTGATTCGTTTCATTTAAGTATTGCTTTATTGCGACAAAATAAAAAATACGTGTCTGATATTTTTTCATTACCTAACTTACGGACTAAGTACATTTTTATTTTCATACCCCCGTCATCATCACTATTTGGTGCATTCATTCGCGAGTTACATAACAGATCAAAACATAAATTTAACCTTCTACAGCTACATCATCCAAGCCCTTAATTGAAAAACCATCTCAAAAACAACCTCTTTACTTAAAAACATCAATATTTTTCTTACTCAGTTTCAAGAGAACCTTACTTCCTTGCGCTATGGTTATCAGTCTTATTTGTAAATGGAAATTTTATCCTCGTTCCCCTCATTACGAGACCTCCAATGCAATCAATGAGCTATCCCATCGATATGGGTCAAGAGATCGCCACTTACAAATGTACTTATCTTGTGCTGTGAGTAGATTGGTTCGTTGGAAAAGTATGACTGTTAATCCAGGTTTTATCATTGGGTCTTGCAAAATTGGTATTAATTATTTTTATAGGCGTGAAATAGAGTTTACATTGTATTTACCTACAGCCTAATCTTTTCTAACTAACTCTTAAAAAAAAACATTGTCCCACACTAGGATTATCTCTTTTGTCGTGAGTGCGTTTACAAACATTCAAGTTCACATACACATGACACACAGACACGAAACAATTTGTGGACCACACCAAATGTTGTATCGTGCGGGAATCAAACTCGCGACACGTTGCACGGTAGCCGGTTGCCCAGCCACCGCACCAACCGTGCAATACTACACACACATATGCGCAATGGTAACTTCTATAGTGTTTTTTTTTAAATTCATGATTAATTCTCTACGGATTCTTGGTCCATGCCCTTGTCATATTTATTTTTTTTCTATAGTGTTGTGGGTGTCCATGGTAGGAACTGAATCTTCAAATCATTAATGTGCTCGTTTCATCTTTATACCATAAAAAAATGCTATTGAGGTGTAGTGAAGGTCACAGCTTATTTAATACAGAACCTGTTATAGCAAGAATGATAACCTTAGTGGTGTTTTTTTAAGGGGGAAAATTATCGAATGACGTATGAATGAGGGATTAAGAGTTTGAGGATCGTTGGGGATTCAAGGATTGAAGAGATTGGGGAAGGGGAGGGTAATTCACCCGCCTGGGTGATGTGGGAGGGAGTGTCAGACTCTTACTGACTAAAAACCACCCTGTTCCTATTCCTGCACTTCGACCCGGAGCCCCGGTAATCCGTTAGGTTCTCCGCGGCAACCATAGTAGCTCACGTATTGACAAAAGTGGTATAGGTAAAAGTAAGACTTAGTTGAATTTCAACTCTAAATATCAGTTAGCAATGTTGGTACTTCAAAGGATTTCATACAATAGAATTGTAAAGAATTTTACAGTTATTAATTTCATCTGCAAACTCAGGGACTAAAATACAAAATATTTATTGATTAACTCCTAGAACAAGGACCAGTCAAAATAAATTTGTCTAGAATTGAAAAGGGAGTGTCTCAAGTTCAAACGTTCTAATGGCAAGCATGTAGCCGAGTCTTAATTATGACATTAAAGGGTTTCAGTGCATTGGTTCTGACGTTTTGATATTTTGAATCAATTTGAGAGCCCGTTAATGTAACGTCTGGACGGCTTGAAACATTTTGAAGATTAAATGAAATTTGAAATTGAAATTGAAAAATTTGAAATTTGAAACGAATGAGTTATGTTGGTTTTAAACTGACTTATTAACTGGAATTGCAGCTGGAATTAATTAAAATTTCTTATTTATAATTGTACTTTTCTCTTCTATTAATTATTGGTATGACTGCTTCGCTAGTGAGACTTCCGGGCAAGGGATGTCGGGTTTGATTCCCGGGTCGGGAAAAGTATTATTTTAATCTCAGTATTTGCACGTAGTCCGGAATTGTGTCCTGTATATGGCAATAGGCTCACCCCCTTTTAATTATACCCAAACATTTTGGGTATAATTTTGGTAATAGGATAGTAGTATCTTAAATTTTATTTTAATATCCGTCTGATAGATTATTTTAAAACATTAGACACGTATTTAATAGATTTTTTACAAAATTAACTCGTCGAGTACCGGTTTTGTAGTCACAATTATAGAACAATAGGTTGCGGTCACCGGTGACCGCTTGGTGTTTGACAGTTTAACTCGTCGAGTACCGGTTTTGTAGTCACAATTATAGAACAATAGGTTGCGGTTACCGGTGACCGCTTGGTGTTTGACAGTTTAAATACTTTTGACGATATATTGATTTGAAATATCCTGTGACGTCACCATTTACTACATTTTATAGGGTAGCGTGACGTAACGACCTTCCACTCCTAAACTTAATTACGTTTTATCTAAGCATTGTTTTCTTATATGAGAAAATAAAAAAAATATTTTTCAAATATTTTTTCATTACCTAACTGACGGACTAATTACATTTTTAAATTTCATACACTGTCTACTACCCTATGCTAGACCGCGTACTGTTTTTTGGCTTTACTCAAAAACGTCTCAACTTTTTTTATTCAACAGTCTGAATTGCAGCTACTCATTTGACAATACGAGCTATTTTTCAATAACCGTTTACTGCGCTACCCACTGTAAGTCGTATAGCTAATTTTAATAGCACTCTTAAGCAATTCCGTTATAAAATCGTAACGATTACAATTGTTTGCAGTAGCGACCTCTCGCTTCTCAATGGATCGTTGGACCCTTTCCTTTTTAACGATCTCCGTTGTTGTAGCTATAAAGTTTTATGCATTGGGAGTTTCCTTGAGAATTTGAAGATTTTACTTTTTACCTTGAGTAAAGAGGTCGGTTATGCTAGCTACTGGTAGTTTTTCGCTATGAAACTTGTATAATGTATTACAGCTATTGTACCAACGGTTGTAGCCATATATTTACATTTGTTATACCTCCTTCTGAATAGCAGATGTGTCTGAAAACGCATTAACCCTTTGAATACTGTCATTATAGACACAATTAAAGAACAATAGGTGTGCGGACACCGATGTCCTCGCGGTGTTTGACAGTTTAATTTGATTGCACGGTTGGTGCGGTGGCTGGATAACCGGTTGCCGTGCAACGTATCGCGGGTTCGATTCCCGCACGGAACAACACTGCGCGATCTACAAATCGTTGTTCCGGGTCTGGGTGTCATGTGTATGTGAACTTGTATGTTTGTAAACGGACTCACGACACAGGAAAAAATACTAGTGTGGGGCAACGTTAAAAAATACGCTGTTAGGAGTCTCAAGAAATCTTTTAGTTCTTATATTCTGTAAAGACGTGAAATAACAAATATTTGAAAGAAAGAAAGAAAGAAAAATAATTTATTCGCCACCGACATGGACCACCGAATAACACACAAAATAATAACAAAATAACATTGAAAAACAAAAAACAAAAAAAAAAAAAATAAAATAAAAAACAATAAGAACAAAACAATAATAACATACAAAAAACAGCAGTAAAAAATAAAACAACAATGAAGGCAAAAAACATAAAAAAGCAAAATAAAAAAAAAAAACAGGGTGGCAGCATGTCCGCGACGAAAGGGCTCGCCAACTCAGTTTGAGCTGGGCACAGTAAGTACCCAACACTGGTTTTCAGTTGGCACCCCTGCAGTGACGCACGGACGGAAGCAACGAAGAATAATTTTAAGGAAAATAAAATAGTTACATAAGACACATGTTAAAAAATATAATGATAATAATAAAATAAAAGGAAGAATAAAACAGACCTCTAAGTATGTACATTGTGCGATAAATAAATGAATAAAAATGAGTATGCATACATAAACAAGTGTAACGTGTACCGTCACCGAAGGAAAAAAATTATGAAATCGGTTTACTCAGACAAAAATACAAATATAGTTGTGTTTTTTTGTCATTCTATGTTAATTTCTAGATAAATATTAAACAAAACCAAACAGTAGTTGAAAAGGTAACCTTGATTAGAATATAGCCACAATTATGCCATAAAATTTTCGAAAGCACATAACATAATAACACCTTAACTCACCAGAGAATTGGAACTAGGAAACTTCGTTATAAGGCAGCAGAATTGAAGTATGTAGGTTCTTTAAAACGAGAAAGATTTCAAAATTGACGAAGTGAATTGGATTTGTCGCTTTCTCGATGTATCGTGGTGAAAGCATGACCTATTTCTATTGAGTAGTCGGGTAAAAGGTAAGGCGTACCTTGAAGATGGAAGTATGAAATATCATAAATTGTATATAGTGAGATCACAAAATACGACTGACATTTTTCAACATAACATAGCATCACGCCTTTAATCCCCGAAGGGGTAGGC